TTATCTTGTAATTTGGCAAAGTGAAGTGAGTTTCTACCAATTAAGCCCATTTTTGATTGAAAATCATCAAATGAGTTAATTAATATAAAAAATTACCCATTTCTCATTTTGATTAAGCCTAAATGTTCATTAAGGCTAAAATATTCAAAATTACAATTTTGCCCCTAAGGGTCCAAATTTTCATAATTTATCAAAGTTAAGTCAAAGGACTTTGAAATTTTTATGTAACCCTACTGATAGGTCTATTAAAACATCAAAGGAGAAAATGTGAATTTTCACAATTTAATTTAATTCATATAATTATTTTTATGCAAAATGTGCATTTTCAAAGATCAAACTTCGAAACTAATCAATAAATTAAAAAAATAGTAAAAAAGTGAAAATTTATGATCACAGTTGGCCACGCCACCAGCCGACCACTACGTCGGCAAATTGCGCGTGTACAGCGTGGAAAGAGCCACCTGTTTAACAGCTTGACTCCACGCTTCGAATTACGCCTGCTCATTTAATTTTAAAATACTGGTTGCCGCCATTCGAAAATTCCCAGAAGAACCCATCCCCTCGCAATTTCAGCGTCTTCCGAAATCAATTTATAGACACCAACACCAAATCTCCACTGCAAAACAACTTAACAATGCCCGCCATCTTGTTCCCTATGAAATTTCAATGTCCGTCGTCAAAGCTCGAGATTGGCAGTGAAGACGGCCGAAGTTGCAAGTCTGTTTTTGCTAGAATCTACGACATGCTCTCCCTTAAGAAGCACAAAAAGCCTTGTTCGCCGTCTTTCATGCAGCCAGTAATGCGGGAAACATCTCCAAGACATGATTTGGAGTGGGTCTTCCGCTTCTTCGACGTAAATAGCGACGGGAACATCTCGGCTACTGAACTTTGCGGCTGCTTGCAGAGCGCTGGGGAGAAACTCTCGTTGGCGGAGGCGGAGGCAATGGTTGAATCTTCGGACTCTGATGGAGATGGCGTGCTGAGTTTTGATGACTTTGTTAGGCTTGTGCATGTGGAGGAAGAGGAGGATAGGGAAAATACTCTCAAAGAAGCTTTTTCAGTTTACAAGATGGGTGGAAGGGACAGCATCACGGCGAGAAGCCTCCGGCAGGCATTGCAGCTGCTGGGAGAGGAGAAGAGCTTGGATGAGTGCAGGGTTATGATAAAGAGGTTCGATCTCAACGGAGATGGGGTCATTTGTTTCGACGAGTTTAAACTCATGATGTTATAAATACTTTACTACCTTAGACCATGACGCTAATTTTTAATTATAAGTGCCGCATTGAGCGCATGTAGGGTTCTATCAGTGTGCATAAATTGGTGATTTTGTTTCTGAATTCTTTGATTTAAATATTATAATTGCATCACTTTCCTTTCAATAAAGTGTTCATATATTATAAAACATCTAATTTACAAAGAACAAAAGCGAGAATTTCATTTAAAATAAAAGATAGTAAAAAAATTTAAATGCTTTGCTTTTGGTGGGCCTATTGGAGGGATCAAGGGTAGGGGTGTAAACGAACCGAACACGAACGAACAAAGCTTGTGTTCGTGTTCGGTTCGTTTAAAATTTAGTTTGTTTGAAATAAGCTCGTGTTCGTTTCTTAACGAACGAGCCGAACAC